AATATTATAACAACATCAATATTCATCTCTTAAATCCTTTTTGCACAATATACATAACAACAAGATTAATATATACCACAATGAAACAATATTATAACAACATCAATATTCATCTCTTCAATCCTTTTTGCACAATATACACAACAACAACATTAGTATATACAACAATGAAACAATATTATAACTACATCAATATTCATCTCTTCACTCCTTTTTGTATAATATACACAACAACAACATTAGTATATACAACAATGAAACAAAATCCACGATGAATATATAACTCTATCTTCTACATCGAGCTGCACCTATATAACCGAAAACAAAATCAAAAAATCAAAATTCATACAAGTTACCAAATAACAACAACAAAAACAATAATATTGTAACACAACTATAACGACATATATTATATTCTCAAAACTCAAAGTTATACCTTATAATAAAACTCTCAACTCCATAACAAATTGGCACCAATCCTCTATAAGTTCATCCAATTGATCTTTTGAGTATGAAGCACACTTGAATTCATCAAAGTACTACATAATAATATAACATAGTATGATTTAATTAAGGGTTAATACCTATTTTCACCCATGACATATGGGGTGTATTTGAAAAATCCCCCTGCCAAAAAAAAAGTTCCAATTGTTACTTTGACAAATTTTAAAAGTTTCAGTTTTTACCTTGAGGATGCCACATCACCTAAAAGGCTGATGTGACTTATATTTTTGTTATATTTTTATTATTATTTTAATGACATAGCTTGATTAATTGTCATTTTTAATTTTTAATTCCACATGACATTTATATTAATATTTTATTAATTGAGTGTTAATTCAAAGTTAAAATTTTTTGTCCTTCAAAAGGAATCAAACCATTTGCAGTGAACACTTCTTACCACTAGAGCAATGCATTTTCTTTGTTACATATATGCATCAATAAATATTCATATCATTAACATATTAATTATAATTATCAATACATTTTCTTAACTAGTTGGTTTAAATAATTTTTAAAAAAATGTTTTACATATTTTATCTTTTTACTGTAACTTTTTTTAAATTTCAAATTTTCAAAAATCATTTAAATTTAAAAAAATCACTTAAATTTAAAAAAATCACTTAAATTTAAAAAAATAAGTTAAATTTAAAAAAACCAATTAAATTTTCAAAAATTACTTATATTTAAAAAAATCACTTAAATTTTCAAAAATCACTTAAATTTAAATCACTTAAATTTAAATACACTTAAATTTTCAAAAATCACTTAAATTTTCAAAAATCACTTAAATTTAAAAAAATCACTTAAATTTAAAAAAATAAGTTAAATTTAAAAAAATCACTTAAATTTTCAAAAAACACTTAAATTTAAAAAAATCACTTAAATTTTCAAAAATCACTTAAATTTAAATCACTTAAATTTAAAATCACTTAAATTTTCAAAAATCACTTAAATTTAAAAAAATCACTTAAATTTTCAAAAATCACTTAAATTAAAAAAAATCACTTAAATTTTCAAAAATCACTTAAATTTAAATCACTTAAATTTTCAAAAATCACTTAAATTTCCAAAAATCACTTAAATTTTCAAAAATCACTTAAATTTCCAAAAATCACTTAAATTTAAAAAAATCACTTAAATTTTCAAAAATCACTTAAATTTAAAAAAATCACTTAAATTTAAATCACTTAAATTTAAAATCACTTAAATTTTCAAAAATCACTTAAATTTTCAAAAATCACTTAAATTTAAAAAAATCACTTAAATTTTCAAAAATCACTTAAATTTAAAAAAATCACTTAAATTTTCAAAAATCACTTAAATTTAAATCACTTAAATTTTCAAAAATCACTTAAATTTCCAAAAATCACTTCAATTTTCAAAAATCACTTAAATTTTAAAAAATAAGTTAAATTTAAAAAAATCACTTAAATTTTCAAAAATCACTTAAATTTAAAAAAATCACTTAAATTTTCAAAAATCGCTTAAATTTAAAATCACTTAAATTTTCAAAAATCACTTAAGTGATTTTTGAAAATCACTTAGTTTTGAAAATTTAAGTGATTTTTGAAAATTTAAGTGATTTTTAAAAATTTAAGTGATTTTAAATTTAAGTGATTTAAATTTAAGTGATTTTTTTAAATTTAAGTGATTTTTTTAAATTTAAGTGATTTTTTTAAATTTAACTTATTTTTTTAAATTAAGTGATTTTTTTAAATTTAAGTGATTTTTGAAAATTTAAGTGATTTTAAATTTAAGTGATTTAAATTTAAGTGATTTTTGAAAATTTAAGTGATTTTTTTAAATTTAAGTGATTTTTTAAATTTAACTTATTTTTTTAAATTTAACTTATTTTTTTAAATTTAAGTGATTTTTTTAAATTTAAGTGATTTTTGAAAATTTAAAATTTAAAAAAAGTTACAGTAAAAAGATAAAATATGTAAAACATTTTTTTAAAAATTATTTAAACCAACAAGTTAAGAAAATTTATTGATAATTGTAATTAATATGTTAATGATATGAATATTTATTGATGCATATATGTAAGAAAGAAAATGCATTGGTCTAGTGGTAAGAAGCGTTAGAAAATACGGATATACATCAAGATATACACCTTAACTTGTTTTATCAAGTATGTGAAAATCTATACGACTCTACTCCTTGGTACTTGAATATCTCTTTGTGCTCGAAAACTTTGTAGAATGCTATAATAAAATAATAACGAATATTTAGAACTATCGCACATAAATAATTAAATATACACAGTAATATTTTAGAACAATGTCACTTACGTGTCAATCGTCTTCTTCATATCTTAGTATGTTGTCCAATCATTGCCCAATGAATCCAGATAATATACAATTTCTCTCACAGGATTAATTGCAACCAATAATCAGTGTCCACTGGAATATTAAACAAAGGTTAGATGGAAATTTTCTGCACAACGTTAAAAAACGAAAAATTATAATAGAGGTAATTTAGAATGAAAATCTTACTTGGGGCCAGTATTATATGGTAAAAAGAAAAAAAAAATATGTATCTTTGCTGGCCATAAATAAACTGAGCACAAATGCTATTACTTCATCTGGTTTTGAGATTATTGACCCTGCGTGGACAATGTTGGGATTTATGAAAGCGAATCTGGACTCCAATCCACGCGGGCGAATCAACTTGTCGTACAGAAACCTTAAATAAAAACATCATTAACATTAATTATTCATTGAAATGAGTAAATAAATTTTGCAATTAATTAAACAAAGTTGATTGGAGTATACCTGATGTATGTATCGATAACAACCATGCCTAATGCCAAGTGTCCAAAAACTTGTTCCAAATCCTCCTTACCAATTGCTGTCATGCCTTCAGAACCATAAATCCCTTCATGCAGGGGTATAAGAGAAGTACCACCTTGCGAAATAGTTGTGAAACTTATAAATGTCTGAAGGCACGACCTATATTGTGAAGTAGTTTTCTTTCTAGCCCCGAACCTCTTAGCAATACTCTTTGTTTCTGTGGGAATGTTGTTAATTACAGGCTCCTTACCCCTACTTACAACTTCAATCTCTTTAGCAGGAATAATCTAAATATCATAAAATTAGAGTGGTCAAGTATAGGACGACAAATTAACATTATCTAAGCATAAATATCATATAACTTTATTGTACCTGTTTTTTTTGCTGTCACTGACTCCTCTGGCCGCGTAATCCCTTTATCTTTTGGTTTGAGTTTTGTAGGAGTCTAACATTACCATGCAAAAAAAAATATAAGTAAAACGAACGTAAAAAATTTGAGTACTAAAAGGTTCATAAAGGTTTTAATTATACCTCATCATCTATGCGAACAAGCCTTGACGGCCATGCAACAAACGCTCCTATTGCCTCTCCCACCAATGTTGCATCCGAAACTTCATCTGGGATTGGTAATAACGCACCCTCCTCTAAAGCAATATCAATCGACACTTTCAAATATCCAGAAGGGAGCGGTTTATGATGAAGTACTTCTCCCAGAGTGTTATGGACTTTTTCCTTGCCAACCATGCGATAAGTTGGTGTCTCTAAAAATAGTTGACAAGGTAAAATGCCCTAAAATCAATAATGAATATGACATCGTTAATGTGTATATATGTCAGTTAAATAAATTACACTAATTTAATTTCATAATAATATATGTAAGTACCTCGGGAATACTCGGTTGAGCTGCACAATTGACACTAGCTATGTCACTAGCTTCTTTAACACCCGAAACTTCCCTTTCTGATTGGTATTGTTTTGCTTTTTCCTTCCTCAATTCAAGAACTTCAGCTTCTAATGCATCCAACCTGACCTGCAGTTCTTTATTGCTAGCAGATTTTGTCTTTAGATTGTTCTTTTTCAAGGAGGTTGGAGTAACTCCATGTCCTTTACCCCTCACCCGACCAGAATACTCACGAACATCTAATGCTCGACTAAGTATGCTCCTGCAATCATCTGGTGGAGATGTAGACTGAGACAGACTCTCCTGAAATTCATATGAATATTGGAAAAACATGAATACTATATGTTAATAAAATTTTGATTTAATTAGAATTAATGTTATACTTACGCATTTTTCAAAATTTTGTTGTACATCTTCTTTGAGAACTCCATCCTTACCCACACGGGCAGCCTTCCACAAAACATGCTCCGAAAGAGATGTTTCTGAACTACTCTCCTCTTTTAACTACACATTAACACAAAAAACAAGCTCAGTTATAACTATTGATGAACAAGTATATCATTGCAATTTGTAAATACTTACTATTTTTTGTTCTAATCGTGCATATCCCAAACGCCCTTTTTTGTATGGATATGCGGGAGATGATGCTCTTAGACGATTTACTTCACTAACACTCTGAAATTTTGGGGTTTTCCGTTTGGCTTTAAAAACATCCCATTCTTTAACTGAAATCACATCCGCATATTCTGCTGGACGCTCTGCATCAACAAATTTTTTTTCGGCATCTCTAAGATATTTTCTGTTTAAATATGTTCTAAACCTCTCAGTATTTTGCCGGCCAATCCAAGACAATAATCTTTTCTTTTGTCATCAATGTTGAAAGACCTCTACAAAAAACATACACAAAGTGCGTTAGTATAAGTAATTTAAAGAAATAATTTAAAGTACATAATCGTAATTTAAAGACATAATTTAAAGTACCTGTATCTCACTCCAGATTTTGTTTTTAGCATCATTCAGCTTATCATCTCTCCACTCATCACAAGTTATTGGAATTTCTCTCCTTACAAGTGTGCCAATGTAACTTGTCAATTTAGAACCGTTAGGCTCAATTAATTGGTCATTTGGACTCCAATGCACATCATATTTTATACCCTTATCTCTATCACGAATGATATTCTTCATTATAGTTTTTCCTCTTTTTATTTCTTTTTCCACTCCCTTACCGGATTTTCCTCCATCATTGTCTCCATCATTAATAGAATCATCGTGAGGGTGCTCCTCGTTACTAGCCATCTAACCTGTAATAAAGAAAAACATTAGTATCTAATGACAAATATTTAATTCCAAATATCTATTCAGTATATAAAATGACAAATATCAATTGAGTATATAAAATGACAAATATCAATTGAGTATATAAAATGACAAATATCAATTGAGTATATAAAATGACAAATATATAATTTATTAGAAGTTTGCTAAGTGTTAACAGGTATGGAGGAATATATATTACCTCTTTCACTAACATCTCTTTCTTTTCTTGGTTGGATTCCTAATTACTTGTCTCTTAAGAACGCGGACGGAGGGATTGATCCAAATTCCCTCATCATGATCTTTTCTTGGTTGGATTCCCTAATTACTTATCTCTAAAGATTTTCACAATTTTGATCAATACAGATATTCCAATACTAATTGGAGTTGTGGCGGTATGAGTAAATAACTATATCAGTATTGACAGCTTCTTCCAATACTGTATCGTCCCGCTCATGACCGTTTTTAAAACATTGTTTTGGATTAAAAGGTTGGAATTTGGCTTTGGCTAAAGACTGGGGACAGGTTTTGTCCATAGAATAAGCTTTTCAGATCAATGCAATAGCATTTGAATAACATAACAAGTTGAGATTCTCGCAATGCCACTGGCGTCAGTGGCATTTTTGTTTGATAGTATACTACTAAAAATTGAAGAGTGTGATTGAAGCTCTTCAAATGAAGGTTACTTGGATTTAGAGCACCAGTACACCATTATTCCATTAATAGTGTCACTTTTTTAATACTAACACAATCATTCTTTGCATAAAACCCCAAAGGGTATTACTAACATGTTCCCTTAGGGCACCAATTTTAGTTAGGAATCATGAAATATACTTCCATTTCAAAATTACTAGCAAGTACTCTTTGACAAGAAAAGATTAAATAGCTGATTCAAAACAATTAAACTAACCTATTACTACTCAATCCATTTTTTGAGTGCTGAAAACAGACCACAGAGTAATGATCATGACATAACTTGTATCAGCACTGAAAGGAATACCTCAAATGACTGAATTTTAAAGGGGCACAGCAGAGTCCCATCTGGAAAAAACTAACATGGCCAAGCTTTTCATTTTGATTACACCCCCAAACTTAATCATGACAGAAAAATAATACTGCAATAGTTTAAGTTCTCATAATGTTCAAATAAAATGTAACAAAGGCATCAAGAAGTCCACTGATTTAATCTGACTACACACACCATTTTGGTTATATACAAAAACTAAAAACTAAGCTCACAAAGTCACCATTGGACTATTCCTTCAACTTTAATCAAGACAGGAAAAAAACACAGCAGATTAAGTTAACAGATTAGAAGGTGCATTAACAATTACAACTGTACAACTAAACTACAAGAATAACCCATTGGTGATTCATCGGACTAATTATAACCAAACACAAACATTTTACCGAACCTTAGTCATCATATGAAATCAAAACACAAAATAGAAACTTATTCATCAAACCAATCTCAAAGGACCAAGAGTAGATACAAAATGCAAATAGACACTATTTGTATAAACAGCTTAATCAAGGGATAATCATACTAGTGCTTATAAATAAGGTATTTCTACAACAAAAGATTAGATAAAGTCAAATTGTTCTCATATAACCTATAAGTTGTTTATTTTCACTTAACATTTTTTTATCCGTTCTCACATAACCTATAAGAAGTTGTTTATTTTCACTTTCTTAACATTTTTTAACCGTTCTCACATAACCTATAAGTTGTTTGAAACCAGCTTAGACATCCATAAACTCCCTCCCAAATATTGTCAAAGTGCTTAGACAAACTCAAATAATCCAATCCAAACAAGCACAAATAATCCAATCGATATGTGACATACTTAGTCATGAACAACGGAAGAGATTAATGGAAACTGTTTCTTCTATCTTTCACGGAAAGCTCAATATTCTAGTATGATCAGTTTACATATAAAAGATTAGATTAATGCAGACAATGTTTAGGCCCTTGGTTTACCTTACTTTGTTCAACATATGACAGTTATTTGAGATATGAAAAACATATCACAAGTCAGTAACCATAATATATCCATAAAATGAAGAGTTTTACAAAGCAATTTCAAAAGGACATAAGCGACAGTGGCTGCCGCACTTGCAGCAACATAAGTGGCCACCTCTGCTTTTGTAGGAAACACGTCTTGCTCATCATGCGTAATACAAATTCAACACACAAAGCAACAAATATAAATAAAACTGTGCCTTAAAATTACATTAATATAGATTAAGTTACACCTACTTCTTAAAGTATTTTAGCTTTGTCCCTTAAAATTACCAGAGGTCTATAACAGTATTGTCTATATAATATAATCAGCTTATTCTTTCTATTTCACAAACAGAGTTCTGGTTTTGTATTTCAAGGGTAGTGGATAATAATCAAGAAAAAATGGCTGAACATAGATGGGAGGCTGCAACCTATCTCTGAAGGCTCGTGTCAATAGGCGTTTTATTCTGAAATAATCCCCATACAATAAAGGAATTGGAAGGGGATAGCAAGGTTCCAAACTAACTTAGTCCATGCTTTAGAGTTGGAGGCAGGGGCGCATGAGATATATGCTTCTTTGAGAGAGAGCATATCTGAGTTGGAGTGTTTCAAAAATAAGTTGATAATTAGTTGGCTCCAAAGGAATATACCATTTTCTTATGTGGCTAAACATGTTAGGGTACCTATGCTGAAGACACAGAGGAATTCGCCACTGGGATTTGACAATGAAATAACTAATTGTTGCCTTGAGGTTCTACTGTAAATGAATATGAATATAAAGCATGTTAGCAAGAGCGACACCACTCCAATATATTATGAATCTAGGAGTTAATGGATTTACCATCACCAATTATCTAGGAATATTTGTCATTAAGGAGAGGAGCTTTGTCTTTAATACCACGCCATATGAAGGAAAACATATGATGCTTTATGAATCTATTGCCTCTAACCACTCTGGTTTTAAGAAACTGGGCCCATTGTGAGTCAGATTCTAACATATCCCAGAGCAAATTCAAACTCTATGCTTTATTAACTTTGAAAATAGACCTTAGCCCTAGGCCCCCTTCAATGATATGGGTACAAATGGTGTTCCAAGCCATAATTACTAACTTCCTATTGTTAAGATCGTCACTCCATAAGAAGTTCCTCAAGAATTTATCTAGCTCTTTAATTAAACTCACAAGCCAAACATATATTGTCATAGAATAAATAAGCATCTCATGCACTACACTCTTTAGACGTTGTAGCCTATCATCCAAAGTTAGAAAGGAAGATTTCCATGCTGCTAACTTTAACATCATTTTGTCCATAGTAGGTTGAAGGTGACCCACCAAAGATTGTTGATTTTTTAGGGGATGCTGGATGAAACATAAGCATTTCTATTACCTCTGATTAACTTAAGAGTGCTAGTGTTCACAAGCCTAGTAATTTCTCTAGTAAGCACCTCATCTGCAAGACAAAAAAGCAGGGAAGACAAGGGGTCACCTTGTATAACCCCTATAGAACAGACAAAGAAACCCTCATGCCTACCATTTACTGAGATAGAGAGCTTGAATGAATGAATAATAACCTTGATCCAATCATAGAAGGTGTTGCAGAAGCCAAAAGTCTTCAGAACTTTAATCTGGAAGCCCTAGTCAATGGTGCCAAAGGCTTTTGCAATGTTTATTTTAAGTGCAATATTACCACTAAAAGACTTGTTGTGCAATAAATTTATGGCTACAGAGGTGAGACAGATATAGTACCTAACGTGTCTTCCCTTAATAAAGTCCTTTTGTTCTTTGGAAACTATATTTGGCACAATAAGAGCTAGTCAGTCAGCAAGAATCTTAGAAAGCATCTTCAACTTGAAGTTAGTAATGACAATGAGTCTGAACTGACTAATTGTTTCTGCATTGGGTGTCTTTGGGAACAATTATAAATCAATAATCACTTAACTTAATTGATTTTCTTCAACTGCATAAGAATGGCTGTTAAACCATCTAACTAAAATTTATTATGTCTAGTAAACATCTATGCATAGTCTTCCTAATCAAATGGCTTTTACTTTAGTTTCTAATTCCATGGTGGCTTACTAATCATGTTACAGATACGTTTGTTTCCTAAAAACTAGTCAAAGACCCAAACATTTGAAATCCATTACTGAATGTCAGAATCTAAATATTTCCCACTATACCACTCTATCAACATTCAAAACCAGATAAATCAGTCAACTTCTAGGTATGCAGATACAATAATTTTATTCCATGAATTTTAGAACTGAAGTACCAAGCAATAAGCAAACAAAAACTGCAGATTTATTTTCATAAACGCAATGAAAGTTGTTCAAACTTAGACGCAGATCATAAATCATTACTATAAGTAAGATTTTGAATTGGAACCCTAAACACTTAACCCGTGACAGAGAATCGCATCGGAATTAAAAAACGATTAATAAAAGATGAACAAGAGAATGGGTTAAAAGAAAGAACCTTATTTTGAGTTCCACAGCTTCAACGATTGTAAACGGATTTGAAAGAGATTAAACAAGACAAAAATAACGAAGGAGATGGTGAGGAGGGAGAGTTAGACGAAGATGAATAGTTGCATGTATAAAGTGGGGTTTTGTATAAAGTGGGGTTTTGTATAAATTTGGGGTTTCTGAATTTTTTAATTACCTAAGTCAGCGCTTTCAAGAAGCGCTGCTAAAGTATACCTTTTATCACACCTTTAGCAGCGCTTTAGTTTAATGCCTTTAGCAGCGCTTTCAAGAAGCGCTGCTAAAGTATACCTTTTATCACACCTTTAGCAACACTTTAGTTTAATGCCTTTAGCAGCGCTTCCTGAAAGCGCTGCTAAAGTATACCTTTTATCACACCTTTAACAGCGCTTTAAGGCTTTAGCAGCGCTTTAGTTTAATGCCTTTAGCAGCGCTTCCTGAAAGCGCTGTCTAAGGTATACCTTTTATCACACCTTTAGCAGCGCTTTAAGGCTTTAGCAGCGCTTTAGTTTAATGCCTTTAGCAGCGCTTCCTGAAAGCGCTGTCTAAGGTATACCTTTTATCACACCTTTAGCAGCGCTTTTAGTAAGCGCTGTCTAAGGTATACCTTTAGCAGCGCTTACTCTAATTTTTTTTTTTAAAACCTATAGCAGCGCTTATGGCATAAGCGTTGTCTATGTGGCGCTGTCTAAATTCAATTTTGGCATAGTTACATCACAAAGGAAAAAGGAATTGGAAAACACTTCGCCCTTCACAAAATCCTTATGCTTGAGGGACTATGTAGAACAATCCTTATTAAAAGAATGCTTATATATTTAAACAATTGCTAACAAAATTTGAGCGGGAAGCGAAACCTTTATCTTGTGAGTTTACTGCAAGCGAATCTAGGTTCTTGAAGCAAGTTCACGATGACGAATTCTATTTTCTTTTTTTCAGTGGTTTTACTTTTGGGATCGGTTTCTGGGTATGAATTTTTCACGTTGGCAATGGTCTGGTCACCAACGTTCTGCTACCACCGAAGGTATGGCTGCAGAATCCCTCCCATTGAGGATGATTTCGACCTACACGGATTTTGGCCTTCCACAGTTCTTAATCCTCAGCCAGAATTTTGCCGAATCTCAAATTCTTATGGGTTCTATTTGGAGTCTGGTCGGGTTAAGGTAATACCAATTGGTAGATTCCACCTTGTTCTTTCTTTAGTAATGTATAAACCTAATTTGTTTTCTTTTATTAAGTATCTGATTATTCTTTTATTAGATTCACCCGGATGTCTGAAAACAACTGAAGATTTTGTGGCCATCCTATACGATGGAAAATAAAGTTTTTTGGGAGTATCAATGGAAAATAAATTTTTTAATACAACAATTACATTGTTGGAATAAACGTTACATATAATATAATTGTCATATCCTCTCCTAGTTCGTCCTCTACGAAGTTCTTGTTGTGGTTGGGTCGAAGGCCTTTATTAAGTAATGTATAAACCTAATTTGTTTTCTTTTATTAAGTATCTGATTATTCTTTTATTAGATTCACCCGGATGTCTGGAAACAACTGAAGATTTTGTGGCCATCTTATACGATGGAAAATAAAGTTTTTTGGGAGTATCAATAAAGGCCTTAACCCGACCAGACTCCAAATAGAACCCATAAGAATCTGAGATTCGGCAAAATTCTGGCTGAGGATTAAGAACTGTGGAAGGCCAAAATTCGTGTAGGTTGAAATCATCCTCAATGGGAGGGATTCTGCAGCCATACCTTCGGTGGTAGCAGAAGGTTGGTGACCAGACCATTGCCAACGTGAAAAATTCATACCCAGAAACCGATCCCAAAAGTAAAACCACTGTGAAAAAAAAGAAAATGGAATTCGTCATCGTGAACTTGCTTCAAGAACCTAGATTCGCTTGCAGTAAACTCACAAGATAAAGGTTTCGCTTCCCGCTCAAATTTCGTTAGCAATTGTTTAAATATATAAGCATTCTTTTAATAAGGATTGTTCTACATAGTTCCTCAAGCATAAGGATTTTGTGAAGGGCGAAGTGTTTTTCAATTCCTTTTTCCTTTGTGACGTAACTATGCCAAAATTGAATTTAGACAGCGCCACATAGACAGCGCTTATGCCATAAGCGCTGCTATAGGTTTTTAAAAAAAAATTAAAAAATTAGAGTAAGCGCTGCTAAAGGTATACCTTAGACAGCGCTTACTAAAAGCGCTGCTTAAGGTGTGATAAAAGGTATACCTTAGACAGCTTTCAGGAAGCGCTGCTAAAGGCATTAAACTAAAGCGCTGTTAAAGGTGTGATAAAAGGTATACCTTAGACAGCGCTTTCAGGAAGCGCTGCTAAAGACATTAAACTAAAGCGCTGCTAAAGGTGTGATAAAAGGTATACTTTAGCAGCGCTTTCAGGAAGCGCTGCTAAAGGCATTAAACTAAAGCGCGGCTAAAGCCTTAAAGCGCTGCTAAAGGTGTGATAAAAGGTATATTTTAGCAGCGCTTCTTGAAAGCGCTGCTAAAGGCATTAAACTAAAGCGCTGCTAAATGTGTGATAAAAGGTATACTTTAGCAGCGCTTCTTAAAAGCGCTGGCTTAGGTAATTAAAAAATTCAGAAACCCCAAATTTATACAAAACCCGACTTTATACAAAACCCCAAATTTATACAAAACCCCACTTTCTGTGTAACTGCAAATTAAACCTGACCTTGGGCAGATGATAGTATCGTTATTCTTCTTAGCCATCTCTTCAAGAGCCTACAAGAAGCAAAAGTCAAAATAAGATTAGCCTCGTGTTATCCTTAAATGTAGAACATCTGGAATAACAGGATCGGTATAATAAATATAAGAGGGACCTTGGTGTTATAAACATATCCATTGGGCAGGACTTGTGGTGGGTTCTCCGTGTCCATTAGCTCCTTTGTTATGTAGCAAACAAGTTTTGAGTGATGCTGCTTAGAAAATGGTAATGGCAAGGCTAGTTTGCGAAAAGCTTCCTGTGATAGAGGGTCTTCTTTTGTGCAATCATCCTCGTAACAATATCTTTATCAAGTCAAGGAACATTTCTCAATAGATTAGCTGTGACAATGTGTACAGACAACCACAAGGTTGCAATAAAAGAAAACGTGCAAATTTATGAGCAAGAGGCTTGGAATTATCAGTATCAGCTATGAAATCTTCCACAACAGGTTTTAAAAAAGAGAGAAGCATAATGAGAGGAACCATACTTTAGATGCATTACTGGAATAATAGTAAAAGATCGGTAAGATGTTGAGAAGTGGCAAATAAAAATCAACTGAAGGAGCACCAGTTAAATATGTGACATTATGCCACAAAATAAACTATGGTTACCAAAGTAATTTCATTTCATTTTTTGGTGGGTTGTTTATATTGCATGTAAGCATGATAATAATACGTGACTAAAGAGTTTTTAGGTTAAAAAACTTCTTGCAGATAATAATCTATATTTATTATGGATACGGAGTTTTGAGAGCCGAAAGGCCAGCTTGCAGGTAGATATTGAGCAACGGCTCTAAAGTCATGCCATATAACTTGCAGAACTCCTGTTTGAATTGGTCTACTAGATAATCCCATTGCTTAGCTTCAAACAAGACCTGTAAATTATGCAAAAGAAAATTGCAAATATATCAGTGCTGAGACGGAAGTTACCAAGGAATAAACAATGCAATATGAAGCAAACATCTACTAAAGAACAAAAGCATCAGAATGCCGTGTCCAATCAACATGTTGATAGATTTCATTATAATTTGTAAATATAACAGGCATGAAGATTTACTTCTATTAAAAAATTATCATAGTAGAATAAAAATTTATGCAAATAAATTATTGTTTCTTATCTAATCAAACAAAGGAGGAACTGTGTTTTACAATGAAATAGGAGATGCACACTGCACGACACAAGTCATCTCAATTACTAAAAACAGTTAACTTAAGCAAATACGATACAATTAACAGCTTAAGAGATATAAATAAGCTTGTTTAGTCAACTGATTTATAAACTAGAAAAACAAAACATAGTTACCATTGATATCAATTAGATAGCGTTATTAGTATATTGCTTGGTATTCCTCCACTTTTTCCTAGAAGAAAATTATAGATAATTGAAGAACTACACATTCTTCTACAATAAAATTCACAGTTTAACAAAATTCTGAATTTATCTGGCCCCTCAGAATTTTTCACTGTGCTGTCAATGAAGTTATTAAACTGTAAACCATGTCAAGAATCATTTATTCAATTTCTTAATCGTGAACTGTATGAAAAACAATGTGCTGTTTGAAAAGAAACAACAACCACCAAACCTTGTAGTGGGGTCGGCTACATGGATCAAATTACACCATAATGTTCTATCAAAGACAGTGTTTCTATCCAATTTGTTAATCTTGAGATCATTCTTAATAGCTTCTCTTATAGTTTTGCTATGTCTTCTTCTACTTCTAATTGTTTGACTACTCTTCATTTGATCTACTCTCCTTATAACAGAATCCACGGGTCTTCTTTCTACACGCCAAAGTATACACAATCCCATATCTAAACATGAACAGAATACTTGAAACTCTCATAAAAACTTAAATGACTAAGTACCATCACGCAGTTATTTATTCATTAGTACGTTCATAAGTTCTAATCTCAACATCGATAAACCTTTCGAGATTTGTGAATATTGAACTCTATAAAAACAAAAATTGTACTCAGTACTAGAAGATTCAAATAGCAGAGTTAGTTTACCACCTGACCTATTCATGTGAAAAAGCAGGCCTCTTTCACTCCAGATGAAAACAGAGCAAGAAAAGAAAAAGCAGAGTGATACTAAATTGCAGAAACATCTCTATCAATGATACAAAGTTACAATGACTTGTGCGACTTAGGCAACATTCAAAGACAACTGTGATTCAACAAATGATATGATCTACTGGTGCGTATGCTCTGTTTAGCTAGTGAGAGAACAATAAAAGAGAGAAATAAAAAGCGAGAGAGATAGAAAGATGTGAGAAAAAGAGTGGATTGTTGGTATTGTTGGGGTGTGATAAATAGAAAAGAAAGAGAAGAGAAATAAGAATTCAGTTGTCTTTCTCTCTCGCGTTGTTTAGTTAAATAAAAAGTGTGATGAGATAAATAGTGTCTTTAGAACAATAATACCCCTGCTCACTCCAACTTTTTCTACAGCAACTCATATCGATCATTGTTTCTCCTATGGTTATTGCTTTAAGGACAAAACCCTGGCTTAGAGCTTCACTTTTTGGTACCACACAGTTTATAAAATATTACTAATATTTAGACAACAATTTCATTGAATATTATCATCTGTATTTGTAGCATATCTCACGTGTTTTCCAGTCAACCAGGGTCACTTTTAAATATTTTATTCAAACAAGCAGCCAAGCTCAGTATCACGCATCTCTAACTGCGTTGAAAAAGCCAAGCTCCTGGTTAGAAAAACATGTTGACGTTATGAAGAAGGGCAAGTCGTGGATTACATATTAAACGAAAATGGAAAAAACTTTGGCTTCTCGCCACTGTTTCTTTGCACCTTGGTGGAGAAAGAAAAAGTGGTTCGATTTAACTTTTCAATTTCTCTCATTCACTAAACGAAATAGTTTCACTCTCTTTTTCCTAATTATCTCCCTTTTATGTCTTTCTTTCTACATTCTATGCATGCTAAACAAAGTGTTAGTATAAAATTGGAACTTATATAATGAATTGTGCCATTCAACAACTATGAATATAAATTCAATCATAAGAATGTTGCATTAAGAAAAATAAAATTAAAAAGACACCAGTATCATTAGTGTGCAAACACACAAAATAAACTACATTATCACCTTATATGTGGCACATCCGGTATCTCTTTTAAAAGCTAGTGTTGCAAGGACCCGCTGCAGTTCTTTCATGTGGGTGGCTCCCCATGGTGCAAGATACTTCTTAGCATATGCGATGGCTCTTAAATTGTTTTCAGCTCTTACCATTTCTATGAACTCTTGAAGTCTCAACTGGAACTCCAATTTGCTCTGTTAACAGTAAACTGCTCTCAATTAAGAACTGTAAAAAGTACGATGCCCAAATTATGCATCTGTTACCAACAACGAAATCACACAAGAATCCCTAGTGGTTAGGGATATTCAAGAAAGTCATGTTTTGCACCAATTTAAAAAAAAAAACAATTTTGAACCAGACTTGCAACATTTTTATTATTTTATATATTTATTTGGAACAACCACATACGGTGGTTATTTATTTCTCTTTTATATGAACATATATATATTCTATAGTTGCTGGATATCTGGGATGATCCTACAAATATTCTTATCGCCTTAACAGAAATTCATGTTTCCTAGACTTCAGAGCTAGATAAATCCAAAAAACTGGCCTATAAGTAAGAGGCAACAACCATTAATAAGCTCAGACAGTAGTATAAACCTTAGATTTCTTCAGTCTTGATTTGTTTTCAGCACACCATGCTAGGGCAGGTGCAGCATCCTTACTTTGCAAAGCATCAATAACCTTTTTTGCTTCTTGGAACACATCAATATCAACTAGCTCCTGATACACAAAAACCAAAAAATATTACTGTAATATCCAAAGCGAACAAAAACAACAGATATTGGCAGCAACAACAAATGGCCACCACATTCATTACCTGCAAGTTGCTGCATTCAGCCAGTCTCTCTGCAGTATCGTAATATGACATTCTCAACATGTAATCAACAAGAATCCGCTTCAAGCGAGTGTTATTCCATTCTGACATTTTTTCTGCATCTGCAGATTCCAAATGTTCGAGACGTGCACGACACTTCTGCGCTTGCAAATGCTCAGCTCGATTTCCTTCTTCCAACTTAACATATTTTCACAATTACAAAACATAATTAATCAAGAATGCAACTGAAATCATAACCACCCGCACTAACTACATTGCCACTACAATAAAACGAAACATCAAATTATTCACACAATTTTGCTTAAACTGAAACCTAGATCAAGATTCAAGAAATGCAAAACCAAAATTGAAATAATTGCCAAAACCGAAATCATGAAACATGTGATTTGTATGAAAAGATTAAAAAAAAAATCGGAATCAGAAAATTAGGTCAGTAGTTACTTTTCGTTTGAGTCCTTGGAGGCGGGAGACGAGAGAGCTAAGGTGATTGACGGCGTCGGCGGAGGACAGGTCGTTAGAGGCGGCATCGTTGACGCTGGAGATAACGGCGGACATCTCCTTCTCGACGACGCGGTTGTTGGTTCGGAGGGTTTTCTTGAAGTGCTCGAAAGGGACTCTGAGGAACTGATGCTCGAGCTTGAGAGACTCCGTGAGTCGGGGGAGGTTGGAGGAGGGAGCAGGCGTAGGGTTGACGGCGGCGGTGGCTTCGATTTGAGTTCCGGTGGCAGTGTTGTTTCCGTTCGAGGGAGTGGAATCCATTTCCATTGGGGAAGGAACCAAAAATGGAATCTCACAGATTGCAACTCGTAACTGGATAATTGCTTTTACAAAACTAGATCATTTTCTATATTTTCAATATTTTAATTTAATTTAGTCAAAATAAATATTTTAATTTAATTTAATTTTTTTAGCAAATTACAAATTTTTTGATTTTTTTAATAATAACCATATTTGAAAATTAAAATACATCAATAATTATATTTTTTTAAATTTACCCAAATAATCAAGTTTGAGAAATGCTTTAAGTGGATGCACCAGATGAGATGGCTACCAATTGTATCACCCCGTATATATATGTCTAGAATAATATGCAGTGATATTAAAATAGTATAACGAAATATACAAATAGCTGAAAAGGATAAGAAATTAAATTGTATACATTACTGATCTGTCCTAATCAGACTTGGACCGTCACGGCTGGCTCCGAGCTGAAGTTTTGAACGAGGTGGGGGTACCTGTAAGGCACTCCGATGCTGAAGTAAGTAAGAGCACGAGCAGGCAATAGTAAGAGTATGGGTAAAAATGATGAATACCTGACCCTCTGGGAACAGAGGGTATTTATAGCCCCCAGCACTGGGCCAAGGTCCCTTCATTGGGCCGGGCAGGTTTGGCTCAATGAAAGAACTGCCAGGTTCTACGTGAGTAGTGGAGACCCGCACGTGGTCTCCTTCCTGGATGTGCTGCGTGAAGTGCGGGCGGACAAGGACGCGGTCTTTTCGGGATCTAGGTGAAGGTGCAGTGGACCGAGTCTGCCCTAGGAGGAGTGCTCGAGTTGAGGTCGAGCTGGACAGTAGGAGGTCGAGCACGTAGCTCCAGTGAAGTACGTCGGGCATGACCGTGGTCCCTTGGTCGGCGTGACCCCCAGCAAGTCCGTTTGGATTGGGCTTTATCAATGCTTCTGGGTCAGCCCAGCCCAGTCCAGAACAATTACAATTTCAAATTTGAATGTATACAATAAGTTTACCTTTAACATTGCACATCAGAAATGATAACGTCTACAAGGTATTCTTGCCTTTTGCTCGTCTGCAGTCTTCGAAATCGACTATCTAGCAATTCTATCACTTATAACATATTCCTGAAAAATAATAAGAGGATTGGAGTCAGATTACCATGTTAAAAATGAATGTATGCGTCATATGGAATGGCGTTTGTGTTCATGTAAAAACTGGCAAACCATCTCATATAGCGTCAGTGTGTATTATGTATTTTTTTATTTAATTAATAATAAATAATTTCTAATTAAAACTAGAAAATTTAAAAAATTTATTTTAATACAACAATTACATTGTTGGAATAAACGTTACATATAATATAATTGTCATATCCTCTCCTAGTTCGTCCTCTACGAAGTTCTTGTTGTGGTTGGGTCGAAGGCCTTGTGAGATTAATGCGACCAGGGTCTGAAATTAATCAGATCAACATATCCTAAAAACTCACTGTCAAATAGTCGGTTATCCATGTTCTCAAAGTTTGGTCGTGTTAGTAGGGTATTTGGTTGGATGGGTGGTCGGTAGTACTGGTCATTTGAATAAGGGGTAAAAAGTAAATAAATCTTGAGGAGTTTGGTAGTCATATATGTGTTGAGTTTGTTGAATGTGTTGGGTGTTACGGTGATGTGATGGTTGCATGTATGTTGGGTTGGTTGGAGAATATTCCTCATGGTGGCCTAGGTCGGGGATAAGATGAGAAGTGGATGGATCCATCAGAGGTTGTTCGTTGTATGGTATATGTTCTTGGTATTGAGTTTGAATATGTGGCATGTGTTGGTCTTGGTACTGGTTATGGGGTTGGGTTGGGTGCTTGTGGATTGATATCGTCTTGGTGTTGGTTGACTGGTGGAAATGTGTTGGATTTGTTGTTGAGTGGTGTATGTTTGTTGGTAATGTTGTTAGATATTTGATGATGACACGGCTCATGTGCGTGGGTCGATCAAATACCTCAGTGTATACAACAATGGCTTTTCAATGGTAGCATAAGAGGATTATTATGAAGGAGAAATAGTTTGGCACAACGACCAAATGCGAAGGAAGAAAATGGGTCGTCTCAAAAGCAAGTGTATTATAACTGAAACGGATATGGATGACAAGGAAGAAAAAAGTACGGTATATGTCATCAAGTCAGACACACACGGAGAAATTGTCTCACTCATGCTACAAGTTCAACAACATAAAAAATGTACGCACACTATGTAATTTATTTTTTGAAATTAACTGAGTATTTTTATTAAGAGCATTGGTTACAACAAAATGAACGCAAACAAGACTAAAACAACAACACATACAACGATTAAAATTAATTAACACGTCAAATTATCTAAGAAATTACAAATGTCAAAACAATTTCATTTGATCCATGTATCCTCACCATTACGTATGTGTCAGTTTTGACATTCTCCCACCTACGTTGAGGTTTTTCGATCGCAAGTGATGTGGTTGTTCTTCGTCTCTGTATTCTTCTAATGGATTTGACATCTTTGATGTCCCCGTCTAACCATCAGATTGTCCCTCTCTTAAGACTCTCCATGGAATGGATGTGCCAAAATTTCAATTTAATCAAGGGTTTGATAGTCGAGAAAAAAACATCCATCTATTGTAAAAATCATGTTAAATGTCATGATGAAAAATTAGAGAGAAAATGAGATGAGAAAGTGTGAATAATAGTGGAGGAATGAGACATGTATTTATAGAAAACGCATTTACACCTAGGCGCCATATATGGCGCCTCCTAAGAAATTTTGAATGTATGTGTCACCTCATCTGACTTATAGGCTATGCATGTGTCATCTCATATGGCGCCTAGGTGTAATTTTAGATGTATGCGCCAGATGAGATGATGTGTCAACTTAAACCATTTTCCAAACCTAATTATTTGGATAATTTTAAAAAAAATATGGTCATTGGTGTATTTTAATTTTCAAACATGAGTATTGTCGAATTTTTTTTGAATTTTTCAATTTATTTAGGAAATAATATTTTGGAAGGATTACTAAAGATTTCAAAATTTTGCAGGTATGATTCTCATACGAGGATATGAATCTTTGATAGGTGTTAAAAAAATATATGTTTGAAATTAATTGAACAATGTTTATGAAATTCCACTTTCTATGCATCACTTTGTAAACAATGTCGGTATTATAATCATATTTACCCGATGTAATATAGAAGGTCTGTCTTGGCGTATCGAAGAAGATATCGCACGTCAGCAAATATTTTAATATTTAAACAATATTATTTTAATTTTTAAACAATTTCTATTTTATTTAATTATATTTTATTTAATTAAGTTTTGGATTATTTCATTAGGGTTATTCTGTTTTATGTATTTAAAGACCTTTGACATAACCATAAGAGAGTTATCTTTTATATAATAAAATTTGGATTTTTCTTCGTTCTGATGGATTCCAATTTATCTTTGACAGATTTTGCGCTTGCAACCCTGTTTTCCTTTTCTAGATTTAGCACTTGTTATTCCCTTGGGCTTTCGACTGCGTCAGTTGGTATCAGAGCAGGTTTCTCCCGTTCTTTTCGAATCTTGACAACCATGACAGATCAACCGGCAACCAAAGTAGATCTTGCAGCTTTTACCGCAACTCTAACTGCATTGACTGAACATATGACAAATTTAGCAAATCAGGTGAACAACAACTATGTGAATCAGCGAAGAGACAATGGAAGAGAACATGTTAGGGTTCCACATGGTGGAAACAATCATCACATTGTTATTGCTGACAATTCAAATTTCGAGGAAGAAGAAAAAGACGAGGAAGAGGTCGTTGATCATGGAAATCAACATAATCATGATTGTCGAGTGAAGGCTGATATTATATTATTCTATGAAACGATGGGAGTGGAAGAATTTCTGGATTGGCAGATTGATGTCGACAGGTTCTTCGATATTATGGGTGTCCCTGATAACAAGCAAGTCAATCACATGTGCCGACATTTGGACAATCAATTAACTTGAATGCATCAGCTGACCAGCATGATCGTACTTCAACTAACTCCTTACCCTCACAAACCAATTCGAGTTTGTATCGATTAATCCCCGCATAATCAACTAATGCTTCAATTATATCCTTTCTATAACGATATTATGCGGGGATTAATCGATACAAACTCGAATTGGTTTGTGAGGATAAGGAGTTAGTTGAAGTACGATCATGCTGGTCAGCTGATGCATTCAAGTTAATTGATTGTCCAAATGTCGGCACATGTGGAGATAGGTTATACTTCTTGAAGTATCCAGAAGGACATCAGAGCCTCTAGCCCATCGAGATTCCTGCTGTAGTGTTTCTTCATATTTTTTCTATTTTGTATAGAATGCTGATTTTACTTTACAGCCTAATGGTTCCTGCTTGTTGTTGGTTTGTATAGAGAACTATTAATAATTGTTGACATTATTGTATTAATGCCATTTAGATATTTTGTATAGAATGCTGATATAAGCATATATGTTTAGTCAATCTTTGATAGTAATGACATGTTATAATGCATAGAAGATATTTAACATACATATCACAAAGCATGTATGTATTAAAGGGTATCACAACATTTTTGCTGTAAGTATTCCTAAGGCATATCATGTAGGTATATGAGGCACTAATATCATGGTATACCTCATAGAAAGATTTTATCTTTTTCTAAGGTGTGCACAAACAAGATTCCCTATGTCATAATATGGGATAATATGAGTATCATGGTGAGAGGGTATCATAAGGTTCTACTTTAGTGTGGCACTAAGGTATTTGTTCTTAATGGGAAACCTTATCCTAAAGTATAAGGACAAATTTTTCTAAAAGGAAGTAATATTTCCACTTATGTTTTCTTATATATCTAAGGTATATCCCTTAAGTTTTCTTAGTACTAAATTTGATATGAGAATATATTTAACTTATCTAAGCTAGGTTCCTTTCAAGAATTTTTTTAATCTTTTAGAAAAGGTGCAATGACTTTTTAGGAAGAAAACATACTTATTATTAAGATCGAAATTACAAAAGAAAAATTAACTTTGAATAGAAAATACTCCTATATTATTGATAGATAAATTACAAGATAGAACAATCAACTATGAATAGAAAATACTCTTATATTATTGATAGAAAAATCAACTACCTTACATCGGACCTTCTGTAAACAGATGTAAAAAACATCAACCCAGAATCTTGCATCGGAAAAAAAAAACTATAAAAAAAATCATTAATACTGTAACTTTTTATTTCTTCTTCAAAGAAGAAAAACATTAACACAGAAAAAAAAACTATAAAAAAATCATTAATACTGTAACGTTTTATTTCTTCTTCAAAGAAGAAAATTCTCTCTTCTTTCTATTTCATAAACATCACCATCATCATTGTCTTTCTCTTCATATCTCATCATCCCTTTTAATAAATAAACTGAGAAAGAGAAAAATAAGTTGAGAGTAAGAAGAAGGCGGACGGACGAACCAGGCGGTCGGAGTGGTGGTTCACGGTTGAGACGGCGGCCGGCACGGCGGCGCAACCGCGAACCTTATTTTTTTCAAATTTTTTTAACTTTTCTTGTTCGTATTGATACTCTCTTTTCAAATTTCAAACTAATTTTTCAAAAACAATTATCAAAAAGAGTAGATCTATAAAAAACTTTTGAAAGATTTTTAGTTCACAACAACATCAAACATCACAGAACAAGAGATTAGAGAATGATTCCGGTAACAGGGAAGGATGAGCAATCTTTTGAAGGTGAAAAGATGATGAATGGAGCGATCTGAGGGGCTGACGGCGGAGGAGGTTTTCGGCGAGGCTTAGGGGCGGCGGAGGAGTATTTTTCGGCGACGGTTCCAAGCAGTTGTTCAGGTAAGAGTGAGTTTTTTCCAACTTATCTTTTGCATGATTTCTGGGTATATGGATTGTAACAGAGCTACTACTATATAATAGTTGGTTGTTTCAACAAAAAAAAATCTGTATTATAGTGTAAAAATGGAGAATTGGAAGAAGCATTTAGAGCAACTACTAGTCTGAAAAACAATAAAAAAGAGGTATGATAATAGACAACCATAAACAAAGGATGTCTAAATCTAAATGCTAGAGATGGAAAAGGTATTCTTGTTTGGTTGATAATGTTTAAATGCATCCTCAAAGTATGTGCATGTGAGAGTTGTATTATGTTGCATACAAGTGGGTTACTGGCACATATGGTATAGGTCAAGGTACATATGCATATGATATAGGGTTAATGATACTTTCATAAACTTCTGGTTTTAGTTCATGAGCAACAATCACTAACTTTACAAAAATTTCCTTTGTTTTGTAATTAACTGACTCATTACATGTGCTGAGAAATACAACGCCTAACCCTTTCTTTTGATTGAGACATATATAGCTAGCAGTCTCTTTCTCTCTTCTTCTTCATAAATTTCTTTTATATTTTATATTTTTAATTTTTTATTATCCTCTTTTCTTTGTGACTTTTTCTTGATTCCTTTTTACTAGTGTTTGTTTATCATGTTTATGTATCATTAGCAGAAATGTTGTTTTGTTTTCATCACTTTTTTATCTAAGAAATGAAAAATGAAATCTTGTGTTCTTCTGTTTTAGATTAGGATTAAAGTTGAGAAGTTGTCTGAAAATGGAAGGTAAATGCAGTTGCATGGAATACACAATCAATATTGGTGAACTTGATACATAATAGAACATAAAATTATGTCTGCATTTTCTGTGTGAATTTTTCCAGTTCAGCTGATTCTCTAGCATACCAGGCTATTGATCTCGGAGGTTAGATCTCAAGAATTTTCTCAGTTCCCTATAGGTTTAATTAATGTTTGATTCTTTGATTTTCTGATTATTGAGAATTGCGTTGATACCGAAAAGCATCTTTGATTTGTGTTTCATTTTCTATTTCAATTGATAGGAACAATGTTTTTTGTAGATGGTCAAGTTGAAGAAGAAAGTCTTGGTTAATGATCATCTGACATCACGTACTGTCTAAACTATTTGCAGTTATGTTACATTTCATGTTGAAGTAATTTTCTCTAACAAATTATAGCATCAAAGGTTGAATTTTTAACATACCTCCATGTGCAGATGTTCACCATTAGCAGTTATGGACATAAAAGATACTGATGTGATGTTTGGATTATGTGCATTTTTTTAGAGTTTCTGTTTTCTATATGTTCATCTGAAAAACTCTAGTTATGTGATTCTCACCATTAGTGTGACTCAAGGTGATTGATGCTATGACTCCAAAAAGAAATTTCCTTTTGATACATAATAATTCCTCCTAATGATTTAACTAAGAATTTATGGTACTTGTAGAACCTACAACAAAAAAGATTAGGAAACTTGATTTTATTAATTATTTTTTGTGGAATGTTTTATTGATTGCGTGATATAATTTGTTCAGTTCATTTGCATATTATTTAACTTTAAAGTAAGTAAAATATTCATGCAATGCACATGTTTTAATAAAATACATATTTTAGTTTTTTAGGGAACATAGTTAAATGAATTCAATCCTAGTGGGCGATATGTAACCTCAGAATTGTGGAACAATGCTGAGGACAGAAGAGCAACTCTGCAAGAAGGAATACAATTTCTATTGGACAACTCATCAAACAAATGCGAGAGGGGAAAAGCTACCATGGGAAGGTTTGTATTTGTTATAATAATCTATACACTGCATTTCCCTTCAAGAAGTTACATGTGATTTCTACTCTCTTTCTATCTATCTCGCTTTTTATTTCTCTCTTTTATTGTTCTCTCACTAGCTAAACAGAGCATACGCACCAGTAGATCATATCATTTGTTGAATCACAGTTGTCTTTGAATGTTGCCTAAGTCGCACAAGTCATTGTAACTTTGTATCATTGATAGAGATGTTTCTGCAATTTAGTATCACTCTGCTTTTTCTTTTCTTGCTCTGTTTTCATCTGGAGTGAAAGAGGCCTGCTTTTTCACATGAATAGGTCAGGTGGTAAACTAACTCTGCTATTTGAATCTTCTAGTACTGAGTACAATTTTTGTTTTTATAGAGTTCAATATTCACAAATCTTGAAAGGTTTATCGATGTTGAGATTAGAACTTATGAACGTACTAATGAATAAATAACTGCGTGATGGTACTTAGTCATTTAAGTTTTTATGAGAGTTTCAAGTATTCTGTTCATGTTTAGATATGGGATTGTGTATACTTTGGCGTGTAGAAAGAAGACCCGTGGATTCTGTTATAAGGAGAGTAGATCAAATGAAGAGTAGTCAAACAATTAGAAGTAGAAGAAGACATAGCAAAACTATAAGAGAAGCTATTAAGAATGATCTCAAGATTAACAAATTGGATAGAAACACTGTCTTTGATAGAACATTATGGTGTAATTTGATCCATGTAGCCGACCCCACTACAAGGTTTGGTGGTTGTTGTTTCTTTTCAAACAGCACATTGTTTTTCATACAGTTCACGATTAAGAAATTGAATAAATGATTCTTGACATGGTTTACAGTTTAATAACTTCATTGACAGCACAGTGAAAAATTCTGAGGGGCCAGATAAATTCAGAATTTTGTTAAACTGTGAATTTTATTGTAGAAGAATGTGTAGTTCTTCAATTATCTATAATTTTCTTCTAGGAAAAAGTGGAGGAATACCAAGCAATATACTAATAACGCTATCTAATTGATATCAATGGTAACTATGTTTTGTTTTTCTAGTTTATAAATCAGTTGACTAAACAAGCTTATTTATATCTCTTAAGCTGTTAATTGTATCGTATTTGCTTAAGTTAACTGTTTTAGTAATTGAGATGACTTGTGTCGTGCAGTGTGCATCTCCTATTTCATTGTAAAACACAGTTCCTCCTTTGTTTGATTAGATAAGAAACAATAATTTATTTGCATAAATTTTTATTCTACTATGATAATTTTTTAATAGAAGTAAATCTTCATGCCTGTTATATTTACAAATTATAATGAAATCTATCAACATGTTGATTGGACACGGCATTCTGATGCTTTTGTTCTTTAGTAGATGTTTGCTTCATATTGCATTGTTTATTCCTTGGTAACTTCCGTCTCAGCACTGATATATTTGCAATTTTCTTTTGCATAATTTACAGGTCTTGTTTGAAGCTAAGCAATGGGATTATCTAGTAGACCAATTCAAACAGGAGTTCTGCAAGTTATATGGCATGACTTTAGAGCCGTTGCTCAATATCTACCTGCAAGCTGGCCTTTCGGCTCTCAAAACTCCGTATCCATAATAAATATAGATTATTATCTGCAAGAAGTTTTTTAACCTAAAAACTCTTTAGTCACGTATTATTATCATGCTTACATGCAATATAAACAACCCACCAAAAAATGAAATGAAATTACTTTGGTAACCATAGTTTATTTTGTGGCATAATGTCACATATTTAACTGGTGCTCCTTCAGTTGATTTTTATTTGCCACTTCTCAACATCTTACCGATCTTTTACTATTATTCCAGTAATGCATCTAAAGTATGGTTCCTCTCATTATGCTTCTCTCTTTTTTAAAACCTGTTGTGGAAGATTTCATAGCTGATACTGATAATTCCAAGCCTCTTGCTCATAAATTTGCACGTTTTCTTTTATTGCAACCTTGTGGTTGTCTGTACACATTGTCACAGCTAATATATTGAGAAATGTTCCTGGACTTGATAAAGATATTGTTACGAGGATGATTGCACAAAAGAAGACCCTCTATCACAGGAAGCTTTTCGCAAACTAGCCTTGCCATTACCATTTTCTAAGCAGCATCACTCAAAACTTGTTTGCTACATAACAAAGGAGCTAATGGACACGGAGAACCCACCACAAGTCCTGCCCAATGGATATGTTTATAGCACCAAGGTCCCTCTTATATTTATTATACCGATCCTGTTATTCCAGATGTTCTACATTTAAGGATAACACGAGGCTAATCTTATTTTGACTTTTGCTTCTTGTAGGCTCTTGAAGAGATGGCTAAGAAGAATAACGGTACTATCATCTGCCCAAGGTCAGGTTTAATTTGCAGTTACACAGAACTGGTCAAGGCATTTATTTCGTAAATCTAAATACAAATTTGATCAATGATTGAAAATGTGAATCCTGCCATTAGCTTCAAGTTACTGTGGCTGTCAGATTGGAAAAATGTTTGCAAAGTTACTCTTATGTTCCTCGTTAACCAGTTAGTATATTTTACCTGAGTTGTGGTGTATACTTAAAGCTTGTACATATGTAAAATGTTCTGTATCAATTGGATACGACTCAAACATGTGCATACATTGATTTAGTATTTTCCATTGTAATGAACTTCTCTTCCATGAAACTATGGATTGAATTTAACAGTCAATCTATTGCAACACTCTTCAACTAACGTATATTAACAATAAGATCTTATAATGAAACACCAATATAAAAATACGTGCATCACTTCAACAAAAAGAGAAATTAACAGACATACCAGGTTGTTTTTTTGATTTCATCATCATCCAAACAATAAAACACACCTTTAAGAGTCACCATAAAAACTATGTTATGACGATTTAGATTCATCTCAGGTTCATACTCTTAAAATTGGTACAGAATTGATTCCAATAAATTAAACATGTCTGAAGATTGAGATTCGATGATTCAGTGATCATTTCTCTTGGAGACAAAACTGTCTTAGTAAAGATTAAACTGTTGAAATAGAATTTCACAACATGAAACATATTAGAGAATTTCTGATTGCACCCTATATAGGGAAATAAAACCCTATAAAAACCTGAAAATGCCCCCGGAAATGTATTTTCGCCGCCTAATCTTCATCAAGCCAGAAAGCTATAAACCAGAAATATATTTTTCCGATTTTAGTTGTTTTTAATTAGATGTTAGTTTGTTTCAGAAATGCATTTTCGATTCTTAGGGGCATATTTGAAGTTTTACATTGGTGCATAAGAAACACTATTATTGTAGAAGGAGAAATGACGGTCTCATTGTTCGGATCGATTGACTTGGGCTCAAAATTGATAGGAGTTGCAAAACTATTAAAGAGAGTATGTGAACTTTGAGCCATTCTTAATCTTTTCATCCAATTATCAATCACTAGCTTATTTTGAAAAACTTCTTAAATGTGATTTGTTATAAATATTTATTATTATTTTTTCTTCTTCCAAATAAACCTTTATTAATACCACTGAGTTCTTTAAATAAACACTTATTTACGATTTATAACACAAATGTTTATTATAATAAAAAAAATATTAATTTTTTTTGTATAAATATAAACTATTTTATGATATATTTAGAAAAATTTATAAGAATAATTAAAAATAGTTTTTGAAAAATATCATAAGTTGTAATTATAATTTTTTCTAAACAATTTTATAAAATTTTATATAAGTAAATAAACTCCTATAAATTGATTTAAACATGTTCTATGTACTTAAAAATCAAAATTAAATATACACATGCAAAGAATAGTTTCGTAAATACAATTCAATTGACATCGATGTTGGATTGTAGAGTCCTAATCAATTTCTAATCTCTTCAATATCATTTGTTTGTTACCTTGTTGACTTTAATTTGAACTTTGAGGGAGTTGATAGTTGTGCTCCTTGTGGGGTTACGTGTCTGAGAAAATTCACGTCACATGTCTAAAATTTATGTTTTAAAATTGTCTCTAAGATAGATAAAAAAGTTATGGTCAAATCGATCCTTCAGACTATTTCCACTTATGTTATAAGTGTTTTTCTTATCGAATATCACGGTGGACCACACAGAGAAGATGAACTCTTATTTTAAATTGATTTAAACATGTTCTATGTAATTAAAAAATCAAAATTAAAATATACACATACAAAGAATAGTTTCGTAATACAATTCAGTTGACATTGATGTTCGATTGTAGAGTCCTAATCAATTTCTAATCTCTTCAATATCATTTGTTTGTTGTCTGACTTTAATTTGAACTTTGAGAGGGTCGATAGTTGTGCTCTTTGTGGGACGTGCCTGAGAAAGTTCACGTCACATGTCCAAAATTTACATTTTAAAACTGTCTCTAAGGTAGGTAAAAATATTATGGTCAAATCGATCCTTCAGACTATTTCCGCTTATGTTATGTATTTTTCTTATCACAATGGACGATATAGAGAAGATGAACTCTTATTTTTTTAGGAGTTAGTAATAACAAGGGTATTAGATGACTTGTTTGAGAAAATATGACCTACCCAAAGAAGGATGACTTGCTTGGGAAAGTATGACTATCCAAAGAAGGTGAGAGTATTGGGATTTAGTGATTTTAGAGCTTTCAATATGGCTATGGTAGTGAAGCAGGATTGTCATATTATGCCTAGCCAGAATACCTTAGTTTCCAAAGTATTTAAGGCTAAATTTTTTTTCTAATTCTTCGTTCATGGCAGCTAAGTTAGGTAATAACGCTTTTTATGACGAAGCTTTCTTGTCATCTAGAAAAAATCGAGGTTTTATTCCAAGGTGCGTCATATTTTACTTTATTTTAAAAAAACAACTTATTCCCTCGGTTATTTTAAAAACCGAGGTGATATACCATTCAGGACATGCTACAAATTTCAACTACTGCACTTTATGTTTTTATTTATTTACAAATGAAAAATAAATTATCTAACTCTTCAGTTTCTTTGATAATCCGAGAGATAAAATAATTAGATTTTACTATAAAAACACTCGTTGAACAAATTTCACCCTAATGCTATCTCATCTGTAGCCGCCTCACTGTCGAATGTATAATTTTTTTGGTATGGATTGTAAAACTGGAAAAAAATGTTCTTCTACCTTGAACAAATTATTTTTTCAACTTTTGCAATCTATCTCAAACAATAGTGTTGTTGTTGTTAAAGGTCTTGAACAACTATAATTTATTCCTAAAAGTCTTTACTGATGGATTGCAAGTGCAAAATATTTTCCCGCTTATGTTATAAATGTGTTTTTCTTACCGAATATCACGGTGGACGACGTAGAGAATATGTTGAACTCTTATTGGGGGGGGGGGGGGTTAGTAATAACAAGGGTATTAAATGACTTGCTTGGGAAAGTCTGACCTACCTAAAGAAGGATGACTTGTTTGGGAAAGTCTGATCTACCCAAAGAAGGTGGGAGTATTAAGGTTTAGTGATTTTAGAGCTTTCAATATGACTATGGTGGCGAAGCATGGTTGGCATATGTTGACTAGTCGGAATATCTTAGTTTTCAAAGTATTTAAGGCTAAATATTTTCCTAATTCTCCGTACATGGCATCTAAGTTAGGTAATAACACTACAACGAATAACACTTTTCACGATGAAGCTTTCTTGTCATCCAGAAAAAAAATCGAGGTTTTATTCCAAGGCACGTCATATTTTATTTTATTTTAAAAAACAACTTATTCCCTTGGTTATTTTAAAAACCGAGGTGATATACTATTTCGGACATGCTTCAAATCTCAACTATTGTACTTTATATTTTTATTTGTTTACAAGTGTAAAATAAATGATCTAACCCTTTGATTTCTTTGATAATTCGAGGGATAACATAATCAGATTTTACTATAAAAATACTCGTTGAACATATTTAACCATAATGTTATCTTATTTGTAGTCGTTTGTTGTACCCCAAAATTTGCCCTCCCATTTCCTCAATATTTTCTCATCACAAGACCCTTGAAGCTCAAGATCCAGTTAGGGTTTCCTCTGCAAGACTTCTCCTAGCACTGTTGACCCAAATTAGGGTTTGTGTTTGCACAAAGATATTTTGACCTAAAATGCCTAAGAAGACTTTCATGCTTCATGTTGGACTCCCAAGTTTATCCATACCAAGTTTCAAGTCTTGATTCCAAATTTTGCCCAATCAATTGGACAGTTGACATAGAAATCAGCTGTATTGGGGAAAAAGTCAACTGTGGCCAATTGACAGTCAAATCTCATGAAAATTGACCCACATCAACATTATGAACTCATATGGACCATTTGATCAAGTTTGGATCACAATTCCACAAGAAATTTGATCAGATCACCAAAAGGGCAAAATGGTCATTTTTAGGGTTTTGACTGCACAAAGGCAATTTTTGACTGTTTGACCTAGCCAATGGCAAACCAAGCTCACATATGGAATCAAGGACCCCATGGAATTGTCTTGACATACTCAACAAGTCCAAAAGATCCCAAATGCACAAGATTGACAGTTGAATTTCCCAATCAATTGATCAATTTTGACTGTATACTGAAAAGTCAAACTTTGACTTTTTTGGTCAAAATCAAGTGTCAAGATTCATTTTTCATCAAAACATGCCAAATCATGAAACTTGTTCATCAAGAAATCAAGAATTGCAAATTAGGGTTTGAAATGAAGATTTTTCATAACTTAGAATTTTTCTAAGTTATGAAAAACCCTAATTTTTTCCTAACTTTGTCCCACTTTCTCATCAAGATGCATTTGGATTCAAGGAAAAGTCCAAACATGAAAGTTGTAGTCCATTTTAAAATCTACAACTTTGATTCACAAAGTTTCCTCAAAAGAAGCTTGTAGCTCAAGTTACAATTTTTGGAACAAGGGTACCAAACCATTCTTAACTTAGAGAAATTTTGAACCATTTTAGGCAGGATTTTTGCCTAACTTCAAGACCACTTTTCACATGCTTCCACTTGGAATTTCAATTTTCATTTCAAAGATGGATTGTAGTACACATTCAAAGCTTTCCAAAATGTCCAAGAACTCATCAAATAACCTCATGGTTAGGGAGAATCGAATTTGGCAAGTTGGGAAAAACTCACTTTGTTCATGACCAAGTTACATGTCCATAACCTTGCATTTTTGAACTCAACATTCCTTAAGCTAGATTACAGGTCTTTTATCTCATCTACACTCCATAATTTAATGCTAATCCTTTGTGCCAAGGTGTTGTTCTATGAGTTTGGTCATTACATGGAAGTTTAACCCTTAAATAGAAAAAGCAAATTAGCCATTTTAGAAAAGTTGAACTTTATGTCAAATGCAAATCCAAGCAAGTACAATGCAAATCCTTTTGGCACAAGTTTATGAACTAATCACACTGATCAAGGCTAAGGTATACAGC